TTTTTTTTTTTTGGGTACTGGGGATCAAACTCAGGACCCTGAGCTTGAGAGGCAGGCAGCAGAACCACTGAGCTAAATCCCAGGCCCAGAGAATGTTAGTTTTTTGAGTTCACAAACTTAACAGGGAAAACTATTCAAATCATTCTTTCTGACAAATTTATCGGCCATCATTTCTAATTATGCTGGGCTGACTTCCGTCCATGGAATGGAGTTTCCAAAGGGCACCTAAGAGGCCTTGGCACACCCACCCTCACCACCTGAACTTATCTGACCTAAAAATGGTAAAATGTGACAATGAATGAGGCAAAGGATAGTTTTCCTACTTCAAGTTCTATGTGGAACATAGCATGGCTTTGTATTTTGAAGACTTTAGGAGATGAGGAAGAACCACTGGGATTTTTGCTTAGTACACAAAAGGAGAAAACAAAGTACTGTGAGATAATTGGATTACAGTGAACACTGACAATAATGATGGACACTCGGGGTGGGGGATGCAGCTCAGCAGTGCCATGCCTGCCTGGCAAAGCAAGGTCCTGAGCTCCATCACTGGTACTGGAAAAAAAATCATAACGAGGGACTCTCAAATGGTTTCTGCAGCAGATGAATGATGAAAGAAAACAAGTGCAATTATGTTGAGTGCCTACTCTGTGCCAACAGTATGTGAAGGTTACAGGCTTTCTCTCATTTAATTCTCTTACGGAGGAGGAAACTGACGTTTAAAAAACTAAGTGTTTTACAGAAGTTTACCCAGCCTGGATATAGTTATATGAATTTTTACAGTTCAAGCTGATGACATATGTATAACACTGAATTAAGATCTAATGACCCATATTTGTATTCCATAGGTAAAAATTTCCCATTTTTTTGTGATAATGTTGGAAAGAATGTTTGCATATTTTCATAATTCTTTTATTATTCCACAAGTAGAAAAATGAGCTAAAAATAAGAACATTTAAAAATGACAAAAAATTTTTTTTGCAGTGATGAGGGGAGCGAACCTAATGCATTATGTACACTAGGCCAGAGCTCCATCAATGAGCTACACCCTCCAGCTCTTTTTATTTTTTCTTTTTGTGTTATTTATTTTTTTTGGTACCAGGGATCAAACTCAGGTCCTTGTACTTGTGGGGCAGGTGGCAGAACCACTGAGCTCAATCCCCAGCTGTCTTTTTATTTTTTCTACTTTGAGATATACTTGCTAAATTGCCAGGGCTGGCTTCAAACTTACAATCTCCTGCGCTAGTCTCCAAAGTAGGTGTGATTATAGGTGTGAATCACTCTGCCCATGCAGACGAGTATATTTTGCATTCAGAATAACGATGGAACCCCTTTTCCTAATTCCATTGAGCAAAAACAGATTAAAAAAATGCCCCCTTCCCATTTGATAAGGCAAGAGGTATTAGTAATAGTAATGTTAAACATTTCTCAGGGGTGGGAAGTAGCTCAGTTGGTGAGTGCTTGCCTGGTAAGCAAGAGGCCCTACACAGTAACCCTAACCCTAACCCTAAGTTAAACATGTTGAGCACAGCTGAGGCAGGAAAACTGAAAGTTTCAGCCCAGTTTGAGCAATCTAGGAAAAGCCTACCTTAAAAAAAAAAAAAAAGGGCTGGGGATTTAGCTCAGTGGCACCGAGCCGGCCTTGCAAGTGCAAGGTCCTGAGTTCAATCCCCGTTACAAAAAGAAAAAAGCCTGAGGATATAGCTCAGTAGGGAAGGCCTTGGGTTCAACCCCAGTACCACAAAAACAAATAAAAACCAAAACAAAAAACCCATTATTGGCCGGGCATGGGGGAGGCTGAGAAAGGAGGATTTCCATGAGTTCAAGGCTAGCCTGGGCTACATAGTGAGTTCAAGGCCACCCTGAACTATACAGCAAGACCCTGTCTCAAAAAACCAAAAAGAAAATTTTTTTTCCTATACAAATAACACAACCGTGTGTGGTATCTAATAGTGCTGAATAAATAATGAATGCATAAATGAATGATTAAATCTCTGTCCTCTAACAAATAATTTAAAGTAGGAATGCATCACAAGTACAAATCTTGATTTTTTTTTTTTTGGTACCGGGGATCAAACTCGGCTCCTTGCACTTGCGTAGCAGGCAGCAAAACCACTGAGCTAAATCCCTGGCCCAACAAGTACAAATCTTTAGGTATCTCTCCTGGTATGTTTGCTGCTTAGTAAATCAGGAATTTGAAACAAGGAACTTGAAAAATTTAGACTTGTTTTGTTTTCTGAGATAGATTCTTGCTATGTAGTTCAAACTGGGCTTGAACTCACTATGTAGCCCAGGCTGGCCTCCAACTTGTGGCAATCCTCTTGCCTCAGCCTCCCAGTGCTAGGATTACAGGCATGTGCCACCATGCCCGGCTGGGGTTTGCTTCTATTTTAAAAGAAACATAAACGAGACTGTAGTTTCACAGATTTGAAGACTGAAAACTTGTAGAAATAGAAAAGAATTTATTATTTTTTGCATATGTAGAACCGTATATTGTCCTTTATGCAACCCAGCAGGAGGTTTCAACTCTCCATTCTTTGAAGCAGCACTAAAAATTTTATTACTTTCATGGTACTTAAGTCTCTCAACTTGTTCTATCACTTTAATACAGGGTAAGTTCCATGAAGGTTGTGACTGATCACAGTGTTTTGCAGAGTAGAAATCCCACAAATTTTTATGAAATTGGTATAGATGTTGATGTTAACTGTAATATTACACTACAGTCATTATGACTAGAAATTTACCAGTAAAAGTTCAGAGTCTTTAGAAGCAAAGGAAAACTTTTTAAAATAAAAGTGCTCTAAGGGACATAAACCCCAAGTAAGCATGTAAGATTTGATCTCAAATCATGAAGTGCAATTATAACATTAGGTAAATAAATCCCATGTAAACCCTTACCAAAATTTCTGAGCTAAGGAAATTGGGAAGGCAGAAAAATCTCACCTGATCCTCTTTTGCTCTGTCAGGTCACCCTCACTAACCAACATGGCCGATAATAAGCGAAGAGTTGAATTGGCAGATTTAGACTGGTTGTTTTTCATACCCAACAGCCACCTTACCAGAAGTTTAATTGCCTGTACCTATAAAATATTAACATGCTAAAAAAAGAAAGCAACTTAAAATTCCAAGGGGAAGATTAATTTATATGAACGAAATTAATGAGCTTTACTTATCCTCATCAGACTTCATTATAAAAGCTTACTGGATAATAATAACAACAATAATATGTATTCTATATTTAATCTGTACCAGGCATTTTCCCCAGAGATGTACATGTATTCAATTATACAATCTCCAAAACAGCTCCTTGAGAGTGGTATTCTTAATGCCAACAGATAAGTAAACTGAGATACATGACTTGAGATCTGGCTCCAGAACTCAGGCTTTTTTTGTTGTGGGTTGTTGTTTGATCTTTGAGACAGCCTCTTCCTATGTAGTTCAGGCTGGCCTTGAACTTACTATGTAGCCCAGGCTGGCCCTGAATTTGGGGTGATCCTCCCACCTCAGCCACTGGAGTGCTAGGATTACAGGTGTTGTGCCACCATTCATGGCCAGAATTCAGGCTTTTAATACTGAAACACATGTCTGATTTTTACATTTTATTAAAATAATAGTTTAAAAATAACCATGTAGAAGAATGACTACTAGAGCCTGGGGACTATGAAGAGGGAAGAATGGAGGATATTTAACAGAACATGAATGCCGTTGGATTGGAAGAATAACTTCTAATGTCTTTTTTTTGTTTTTTGTTCTTGGAACTGGGGATCGAACTCGGGTCCTTCCGCTTGTGAGGCAGGTAGTGGAACCACTGAGCTAAATCCTCGGCCCAACTTCTAATGTCCTATACACAGTAGGGTAACTATGGTTGACCATACCTAAATGAACATTTCAAAATACCCAGTAGAGAGGACTTTAAATATTCCCAAGACAAGGAAATAATGTTTGTTTGGATCTGCTAATTACTCTGACCTAGTTATTACACATTATATGCACATACTGAAATATTACACTATACCCTGTAAAAATGTACACTTACTATGTGTCAATTCAAGATGTACTGAACAACTATTTAGGTAAACTTTCATATTTTTTGTAGTACTGAAAAACTGAAGAAACTATGAAGTCTGGTTCTATCTCATTTAACATTCTGACCAAAAAAATTGGATTTTCTATCATTATTTGTGGGCATAACTATTTGAAGATATCTACTCAAAAGACTGTTAACAATATACTATGTGAAAGAGCCAAAAGATCTAGATGCTATTTACTCTACTTACTGAAAACCTGGAAAAAAAGAAATTGATAAAACACATGACTATGAACTGAAATAGATTATCAAAGGTGATATAATCTCTCATTTTAAATTTCAAGCTCACCACTTCAAAGAATTAGCTCTATTGAAGCTTAATTTACACCTACCAAAAGTCACAGTTTGGTGACAACTACCTTGCTCTGCCAAGGGAGTAACCATCTGTTTGTAGATTCTGGTGGTGAGGCTACAGGTTAAGAGGCCTCCAAGCACCAGCACTGCATAATCTCCATGTCCACAAGTCACACCGAGATTGTTTCCGCAGGCTGAAGACTGATGGATGATTGGGAGCAATGACAAGTACAATTTCTTTGAGAAACAACACCTATTTACTATGGATTTTAAAATTAAATCACCTCATTGGAAAAAAGTTATTATTTTTTGTGGTACAGGGGGCTGACCCCAGTACCTTGCACATGCTAGGCAAGTACTCTAGTCCTGAATTACATCTCTAGTCCTCTTTTAAAATTTTATCTTGAGGTAGGGCCTAAGTTGCTCAGGCTGGCCCCGAACTTATGATCCTCCAGCCTCAGCTTCCCAAATAGCTGGGATTGCAGGTGTAACTCATCATGCCTGGCTTGCTCCTTAACTACTAAAACAGAAGGAGGAGGATGGGGGAGCGGGGAGGGGAGGGCGGAGGAGAAGAACATGATACTTATAAACCTTTTTTTGAAACATAAAGCTTATCAAGACCCACATAAATTTACCTTTGCTAGTACTTCAGGAGAAACTTCTTCATCTGGAGACCACAATTTTCCATTCTTTTCACCTGTTGACTATAGACAATTGGACAAATTTAGCTTTTAGAAAGAAAAGTTTTAGTTTTATTCATGAAGGTTTTTATGCTGGGCAATCCAAGTTCTGGCAAACCTATAGGAAAGTCACTCTGCAGAGTTTGACAAAGAAACTGTAAAAGCCATACTCTCTAGTTTCAGAAGTTATTATAAACCTATATAAAGAAAACAGTGTAAATGGTCCTACAAGAAGGAAGAGAGAATTCAGGAAACTTTGCATAAAACATTTTTGAAAAAAGCACGATGATTCTGTGGTGAAAAGATTAGTCTCTTCAATAAATGGTGCCAAAAAAGTTTATATCCAAAAACCAAAGAATGACTCTGGGCTGTTACACCACATACAAAAATTAAGTCAAATTTGATCAAAGATCTTAATTTTTTTTTTGGGGGGGTACCAGAAATCTAATTCAGGGCCTCACGCTTACCAGGCAGGTGCTGTGCTGCTGAGCTACATCCTGGGCCCTCAAAGATCTTAATTTAAAAGCTAATGCTATATAATTAAAACTAAAAAGGTAACAGATAAATCTCACGATCACAGATTTGACAAATATTTGACAAAGTTTAATATCAAGAATATATATCAACAACAACAGAGAAAATCCAATGGAGAGTGGTAAAGGATTTGAATAGATAACTCTCCAAAAAAGATACAAAGAAAGTAAAAAAGCACACGAGAAAGATCTTCAACATCAATTTTATCAGAAACATAATGAGATACACCCCTAGTATTATTATTTTTTCTAAGTGTTGGCGAAGATGTAGAGAACCCTGAACCCTTATGTGTTGCTAGTGAGAATATAAAATGGAAAAAGAAGAGAATATAAAATGGTATGGTTCCATACCAATGCCCCTGTGATAAATGTATTTACTGTCATGGTAATAATATACTAATAAAACATGGAGAAAAAAACTGGTACGAGCACTTTGGTAAACAGTCTGGTGGGTCCTCAAAAAGTTCAACACAGAATGGCCATATCATCCAGGAATTTTACTCTTAGATACATACCCAAAAGACCAGAAGATAGGTACTCAAATGTTCAGTATCAGTGTTAGTCCCAATAGCTAAGAATAGGTGGAAACAATGCACATGTCCAACAAACAAAATGTTGGATAGACATACAAAGGAGTATTATTCAGCCATAAAAAGAATGAATTCTGGGATGCCGAGTGGCCGCTTCCTGATCTAAGAAAAGATGTGGAGTGGACTGCTGCCTCCTGGCCTAAATGAAAGTGATATTGAGTCGAATTCTGAAGATGAGGCCACACCACAGAACTGTGATCATAACTTACAGGAAGATAAAGAGGCTGGGACCATTAAAGACACAGAAATCTCAGATTTGCCAGCAGATGGACCAAAAATCAAAACAGAGGCTAAGGCAAATGCATATGAAGAGTGCCCTTCTGGAATTCCCTTAAATATGTGGAACAAATTTCAAGAATTGCATAAGAAACATTCTGAACTGAAAACTTCGGCCTCAAGATTCAAAGTGAGAAAGAGAAAACGCTCCAGAAAAGGTAAATTGAAGAATGAAAAAGAATCTCATAGTGAGCAGTCCTTAAATGAAACCCAGTGGAAGGAGCTTACTCAGTATTTCGGAGCCAATGATAGATTTGAACCCCCTGTTAAAAAGAAAAAGGTTGAAAAGTCTGGCCTTGAAAAGAGGATAGACCAGGCTGTGGAGGAGTGGGATGTTGAGAAGGCTGAGGAACTCAGCAACCAGCTAGCTACTCGAGAGCTTGGTGTAAAAATTGCCAAAGGAATTGCCTGTCACAAGTTTGTAAAAGTCAAAAAGGAGGCTGAAAACTCACAGGCTGCTTGAAAAAAGAAGAAACTCGCATGGGGGTTTGAAGCAAAGAAGAGATGGGAAACCAAAAGCAACATGGGATATATGTAACTGGGGAGAATTCTTCAAGACACATGTAGACTTGTATGCTTAATTTACAGACAATATTTTTCTGCTTAGGTTAAATATGTCAGGAAGTTGATAAAAGTAGGAAAAAGTAAGCATAAATCTTGGGAGTTGATTATCTGCTCTTTTAAGTTTTTTTCCATGGAGTTCATTCTGTTGAAGTGATGGAATGTACTTTGTTATTTATGTAAGAAATCTAAGCATACATACAGGAAAAGAAGATAGGATTTTATTTATCTGTATAGACTTACAGTATAAAATCAATTTTACTTTTTATCTGTTTGGTATAGCATAGCCTGTGAGATCTGTGTACTTTCTTATCTGTTCTTGGCATAACTGCACTTTTTCTGGAATTACGTTTTTAAGATTGGCTTTTGTTTAGAATGGATTAGTTGTAAGTGCAAAAAAGTCTCAGTTGATGCTATCTTTCCAAATGACTGTAATTACCTTAATGCTATAAAAACAATTATTGATTCTTTATTGGAAGCAATGGCATTGTTATTTCATAGTCTCATATAAAAGCAGTTGATTAATTTTTGTGTACCTTCAGATGAAATGATTACAATAAAAAAGGGACAAAATACTGTAAAAAAAAAAAATGAATTGATATACACAACATGAATAACCCTGAAAATACAGTAAATAAGACAGACACATAAGGACAAATATTGTATGAAAAGAGATACCCAGAATAGGCAAACCCATAGAGCTAACAAGTCAGCTAACAAGAGAGGTTCTGAAGGATCAGGGGAACTGTTGTTGAACGGATATAGAGTTTCCACTTGGGATGACAAAATAGATCTGGAAATGGATAGTGGTGGTGATTAGCTAACCATGAGGATTTCAGGAACTGTACACTTAAAATGGCCTTGCCACCACTCCCAGCTCTATTTCTAATGTTCTATAGCAAAGTGGGATAACTATGCTTAACAACAATTAAGTTAAATATTTCTTTTTGATTTTTGAGACAGGGTCTCACTATGTGACACTAGCTAGCCTCAAACTCATGATCCTTCTGCCTCAGTTTCCTGAATGCTGAGATTGTGCTCATGTGACACCTTGCTCAAATAAATGAATATATCAAAATACGGTACAGAGGATTTTTGAATATTCCCAACACAAAGAAATGGTATGAGTATTAGGTCACAGATTTGCCAATTACCATGATCTGATCATTATACATTGTATACATGCAATGAAATGTTACACTGTGACATTAATAAATACAATAACTTTGTGAATACAAGATCATCAACAAAAAAATCACCATCTAAAACGTGTCTAATCTCTAGTTTGAAAAAACTGAAGTATCTTAAATTTCACATTTGTTACTAGCCACATCTATCAAGAGTGCAAACACGTGGATGTACAGAGTGGGAAATGAAACAGGGCATCCTCTTACCTCCTTCTACTATAATCCAAAGGGAGAAGGCTACAGGTGCAGAAGATACATTAACAGGTGCCTTTCTTTTTAAAGTTCCTAATATTGAGGACTCAAGACTACTGGACCACATGGGAAGAGTGTTAGGGAAGTTTTGGATAACTTAGATTTATGGGAAGTTTACAAAGAACTGAACGTCATCCATACTGACAGATCACATAAGAATGGTTTGTGTCTTTATTCAATAACTCTTAATTTAGAAACATTTGGGCAAGTAGTGATTCTTAATCAAAGTATGTTTCTGAATCATTTGGAGAGCAATTTTCAATCTACATATTTCTGAGTTCTAACTCAGAGATGATGAATTACAACAACCCATACTCACATACACTTCAATGTCTGAAACAGAGTACATAAATCTAGTGCCAGATGTATAATGGAATATTTCTACAAGTTAGTTAAATTCAAGTTCACTTGAATGAAAACAGCAGGGCAAGGGATACAGCTTAGTGGTCAAATTTGTGCTTTAGTGTATGTGAACCTTTGGGTTTAATCTCCAGCACAAAAGAGAAAAAACTAAACAAACAAAAAAAACCAAAGCAGGAAAAGAGAATTATATCCAGGCAGAGAAAAATAATCCTGTTTCTGTGATAAGAATGTAAATAATCTTAATCTTAAGATTCTGAATTTAATTAAGTGAGAAACTTACCCTGTCATTCATTAGTAGATCTTTCACAATAAAATTTGCTACTACGGATTTCATTGGGGAAGCAAACTGATCTGGTGCTAACATAGAAATGTGGCCCAATGAAACTAACGGAGTTATAAGTTGTTCTGGTACATCAGCATTCAGACTCCTACTGAGTGGCTATAAAAATAAAATAGAAAACATTACTAGTTTCTTTTACATTCCATGGTAACAGATTTTCCTGAACCCTCCCAAATTTAGCTTGCCCAAACATCTCTTTTAATGATATGATCACAATTAACTTCAACCACATTAGATATTTATTTGGTTCTTAGTTGGCCTATTGGAATTTAGCAAGACTGAAAAAATGTAGAAGATAAACCAACAGATATTAAACTCAAGTAGAAAGTAGAAAACAAGAATATTTCTGCTTCAACAATCTGCATTATTTTCAACACCCCTAAATTAGGTTTGCTATGCTGGCGAATTTCTTACCCTGTGGGGACATTTTTAAATGACCTAGAATCATACAAAATAAGAGGTTCACAGTGTTCTGTTCTTATTACCTCCAATTTATGCTAACAGGAATATATTTCTGGTAGCAAAATCAGGCTAAGAAGCATTTATAAAGAAAGAGAAACCAGATTAATTTTCAGGTAGGGTTGTTAGGTACTTAACCAGGGTGTTTCAAAGTCATCTCTAAACACTCAGTGAGGATAAATGGACAACTGAGCTAACGGGTGAAATGTTCTCACACACAAAATATTTTTCAATATTAAATTTTAGAACATGTAACTGGAACTAACAGCTGAATAGATAGTGCTGATTAAAACAGAATCCCTGCTCTGAAGGGCAGACTACATATAGTCAACAACAAATACAGCTTTCATCTTTATAAAATCACAGTTGAAGAACTGAAGATCGACATAAACATATCCTATTGTATATACCTCAAAAATCTGTGCAAGCTGGACTTCTTTATTGGTGAATATGGCATGTATACAGTGCACGGCCTGTTTCGCTTGGTGTGGAGTACCCCTCTTTGCCTTTTGATGTAAAATGGGAATTAAGGTCCTGCAAAAAATAATATCAGTTTTTTTTCTTTTGTTTTTTTTTTAAGCTCATAAACCCACAAATCTTTTGGTTGTCTCTCACTTTCCCTATTTGGATGTAAAGCTGGTAGAGAAGTCTCTCCTAAAAATTATCTGATTTACTGAAAGATTTAAATCTCCCTCACTGTTTCCAAGTAAAAAGAAATACAATGTTTTAAGATAAAGGCTACTAAGATTTTTTTTTTTGTCGGTCCGGGGATTGAACTCAGGTCCTTGTGCTTGCAAGGCAGGCATGGTGCCACTGAGCTAAATCCCTGGCCCTTAGATAAAGTCTATTGAAGACAATTTGCCTTTTTTTGGATACAGGGTGTTGCTATGCAGATCATGCTAGCCTTGAACTCACTACGTGGCCCAGGCTAACCTTGAACCTGTGGCAACTTCAAGGCTCTGGAGTGCTGGGATTGCAGGTGTAGCCACCACATCCAGCTTTCGACTACTCTTAAGAACAAGAGGTTTTGGGCCAGGAATTTAGCTCAGTGGTTCCGGCGCCTGCCTCACAAGTGCAAGGACCCGAGTTCGATCCCTAGTACCAAAAAAAAAAAAAAGAACAAGAGGTTTTATTTCTTGGGCCCAAATTTAACTCTTCTAGTGATACTTGTTTTT